TGTCTGAGGCCATGTGACTTATGATGTCATTTTTACATAAATACATTATTTTAACGGCCTGCAGCACCGACCACGTGCATGACGTCATATTCTCAGAAGACTGAGCATCTTTAATGTAGCACACACGTTACCTTATGTGTGCCATCATCTGCAAACAAGACTGCATCTCCTTATTCTGTATCCAGAAATTATCAACTTTATATGATTTTACTAAATCACCATTTCTACGCTCAACATTTTAAACTTTGGTCAGCAGGAAGGTTTTCGATCCATACATGGGAAAAATTGGGCACATAATAGCAGATGTTCATGTTGTGACCTGACAGTACCGGAAATTGATCACACACACATGCCGTGTGTAATAAACGTGACATGATGTGCAGACCTGAGGCTTCTTTCTGAAGGTCTTACTCAGGGATGTTCCCCAGGCTTCGATTCAACCTGTTCCTGAGCCCGATTCTGCAGCACGATGCGAGATCATGAACCTGCTCTCGTCTGTGCTCTCATATCTGAGAACTACGCAGATGATAAAGACATTTCCTTCTTCTTCTATGGTCCCTGTTTAACTTAAATGTCAACCACGAATCCAGTAGCAGGTTTGATGTTTGATTCTGGGGCCTCCCGTCTTTATTCTGGTCTCTAACTGTAGAATCATTAAGATAAATAAATCTGTACAATGCAAATGTTGTAAAACAAATCACATGAGCTAATGAGTCAACTGAAGTGGCACAATCCAGGGTTCAATCGTGAGGCCTTGTTGACCAAATCGTGAATTTTCTTGTTGTTCCCTAAAACTGCAGACAATCGTAATCTGAGTGGCGCCGCCAAAGATTCATTTCTGGAGTGTTTTTCTTCTCAGCCACTCTTCAGCAGAATCGATCAGCCTGATTTACTCTGTGGAGGCGAGACTTTCCAGGGTTTGATGCTCATATTCTGCAGTTTAATTTACTTTGCTGACGGCACCGAGACGTCAGTTAACTTATTAAGAACGGAAGTTGATACAGAACTTCATTAACTGTAAACTAAGGTTTAATTTCATTGAGAACTTTAGATGTAAATTTCAGACTCACTGAGGACGTAGAGGGAAATTGAGCTTAAAAGACTTTATAGTGACTCTACTGTACAGTGAAATCCAGCGAAGAACCTTCACAGATGGGGAGGAGCTGCCATCTGAAGGGACACACCCACCCACGTCTACGTTGCATAAAGAAATCCATCGTCATAACAAAGCAGAGCAGCGAGGTACAGAAAAATAAAAACTCACAGTCAAAAGGTTCTCAACAAATAGAGAAAGCAGTAAGGTCAAAAGTCACGGAGCTCAGAAGAACACACTGATTACATTTCCACCGAGCAGGAGAGCGTGGTGCGGCACTTTGATGGTGTGAAAAACCTCTGAGTGGGAGTGTCAGTGCGGGTCTGTGGGATCGGCAGAGCAGCGTACCGTTCAGCTTTAACTTACTTCAGTGTCTTAATGCTACATGACGTATATGTGCGTTTGTATAAGTGTGTACTTGTTCTGTGTTCACTAATTGCACTTGAGGATGAGGATATGGAGATCACATTGTCTGCAGACGTCTGCAGATTCTTTTTCTGTTTTTTTGCATTTTCCTGGAAATGTTTCAGACTTTGACAAAACAAACAAACCTGGGACGACTCGCCTTCAGCACAACCGGCTCAAACACGTCAGCGCAGTCGCATCCTGAAGGCGGCAGATGTCACCGATGCTCGTTTATGTCAGGAGATCAAAAATATCTGCTTTAGTGTTTTTAAGCTGATCGCATTAGTGCTGACTGCAGTAACTGCAGTCGCGCTTCAGCTGTCCAATCAGAGCTGAGCACAGGCTCTGACTCGGTAATCGATATTTAGGTTTCACTGAGGCTGAAGCTGAGATGAAGCACATTTTTCTTTTCCTTGTATATAAACATGACACCTAGGGATGGGTACCGGTATCCGGTGCCATGATGGCACCGGTTCTGACATAAACGGTAGTAACCAGACCGAAAAGCAGCGCACATTTCGGTGCTTTTTTTTCCTGAGCTGT